ATTTTGCACCCCGCCCATTCCCACCCACATATAGATACGCCCATGGCTAGATCTAGGCACGCAATACCTAAATGTGAAGAGGATATTACGGCGGCTAGGAAAACCGCAGTTCCATTGAAGACACAGCAAGATACTCAATGGTGTGTCAAATTATGGATGGACTGGAGCACCCATAGAAACAGTGATTATGATGGCCCAAAGGTTCTACTTGACAGTCAGCTCAAGAAGGCAAGCAAACATGACTTATCCTACTCTATGGAGCGATTTGTGCTTGAGGTCAGAAATAAGCATGGAAACGAGTACTCTGCCACAACTCTACATCACATTGTTTGTGGCATAATGAGATTTATCAGAAGTGAACAGGCTTTCATTGATTTTTTCACTGATCCAGAGTTTGTAGAATTTAGGCAAACATTAGATGGGGAAATGAAGAGGCTCCAAAGTAAAGGAATTGGGTCACAGATCAGGAAGGCAGAAGTATTGACTCCTGAAGAAGAGGAACTACTTTGGACCAAAGGCCTTCTTGGAGACCACAGCCCTCAAGCATTATTGAACACTGTGTTCTTCATGAACGGTCTATACTTCGCACTTAGAAATGGCAGTGAACACAGGAACCTTAGATTGAATCCTCCACAAATTAGAGTCGTTGAGACAAGTGGCAAAAGGCCTTACCTTCACTACACAGAGGACATATCGAAAAACAATCAAGGTGGCTTAAAACACCGTAAGCAGGCTAAAAAAGATGTAAAGCACTACGCCAATGAAGACAACCCATCAAGATGCTACGTAAGATTGCACAAACTGTATATCAGCAAGTTAGAATATACATACATGTAATTGACCAATCAGATTGCACCACTAAAGGTGTTTTATTTCACTTAAAAACTCCCCGGGAACTCATAGTAAACTCCCCGGGCTCTCATAGTAAACCGGTTACTATACACTTCCTCGGAATTCTATCAACGCTTAGAAACCTCGTAACCAGTATCTAAGGTATTTAGAATTATACATCTTGGCTAGCAACCAGCCTGCTAAGTTGGTGAACCACTCGGCCAATCAAAAAAGATTCTGGTACTGTTGTCTATGGGTGCTCCAGTCCATCCATAATTTGACACACCATTGAGTATCTTGCTGTGTCTTCAATGAAACTGCGGTTTTCCTAGCCGCCGTAATATCCTCTTCACATTTAGGTATTGCGTGCCTAGATCTAGCCATGGGCATAGATATTATAGACTACGTAACCGGGATAGGAAACTAGCTCACGTGATCCATTCAAACCAGTATCAACCGCCCGCGCCCGGCCAACGACCGTCATTGGATTTTGGTGGGTGTGGTCAAAAATGGCCCATCATCATAGATAGTAGCAAGAGTGGATAAGGAGGAGGGGAGAGTGTCTAACTGCCTTATACTGCTAGTGATATGTGTGCGTAGAAGTCTTTCACAGTTTGTTTAGCACCTTCTTTGACCTGTTTAAACATCAGCAGCCAATAACCTATATGGTGCACCCACCCACACGTGTAGTCACGATGTTTCAAGAGGAAGAGTCAGAACTACAGCACAATCTAGATGATCATGACTGTTACAACAGATTGAGAGCATCTAATCTTGATGAGCACCATGCCACTACACCTAAGTGCCCCAAAGCATCAAGAAAGAGGACATGGAGTCAAGAGTCAGAAGCCTCTGCTCTAGTGAACTCATGCAGATCTGTAATACTTCGT